TTGAGGTCACTCTGGGGCAGGGACCACACCCTGGGTCACTCCATTTAGCCCATCTTCAGCCTCCAAAATGACTTCTGCTGACCCCTGAGGTATACAAAGCAGAAAAATCAGGTTAGGAAAAGGATTTCTAAGAGACGAGATGTCTCCATGCAGTGTTCCTACAAAGAGGAGCACATACGTCAGGAACCAGAGTTTTCTGAAGACTGTGGCTGTGCGCAGCAGGCACCCCCCCCCTCATCCCCTTCAAGTATATTAGGTAGAAAGTCTGAAAATCTTAAGCTTCTGTTGTTAAATGGAAAAAAAGTATAAAATTAGCTTAAAGAGGAAGCTATCTTGGGAGATAATGCAAATAATTTGTTTTGTGTTTCCTGGAGATGTGACAGGTGCTGACTCTCATTGATGTCTGATTGCAAATAAAATGCAAAGTTCCCCCAAGAACTTTCAAAAAGGCTCCAGTATTACTCAATCCAGCTGCTTTAATCTGTCTAAAGAACCTGCATGCATGAATTCTTCATGCCCTGGCCAAGTCCTTTACCTTTTAATTTAGTCAAGAGGCCTAAATGAATGGGAAAATCTGTTTTGTCTGCTTAATTTCGTAGTCATGAAAACTTTCCGATTTTCTCCTTTGTCTGATACCTTCAAAAATTCAATGCTAGATTGAAGCTTAATTTAATGACCATGTGGCGTATGAAACAGAAAACAAGTGTCTCTTTTTTTTAGCATAAAGTTGAAAAGTATACCTATCTGTTTCATGGATGTAGTATATACATGCCAGTGGATATACAGTCATATCTGTAGAGTTGTTAGGAGTACAGTTGCAAGATAGAGAGATATGAATTTGAAATCCAACTTCATGAGCTACCACTCTTTGACCTTGGGCAAGTTGTATGACTTCTTTAAGCCTCAGTTTCCCCATCTGTAAAATGGGGATAGTAACTCCTACCTTGCAGAGTTTGGGGAACAACAAATGAGATAATGATGTAAAGCTTACCCCACTGTTTGGCTCATTGTGTTTAATAAATGTTAACTATTACTCTACTTCCCAATAACAGTCCATGTGCATGTGAATCACCTCAACCTTATTAAAATGCAGATTCTGCCTCTCTAGGTCTGGGGCAGTGCCTGAGACTCTGCATTCCTAACTAACTCCCAGGTGAAGCTGAGGACATTTTGAATGGCAGGATGATAAAAGATGTTTGCAAGTACAGGTGTTTTATTTCTCTAACCATTGGTTTTCAATATTGTCTGCACATTAGAAGCTCCCAGGGAAATTTTTTTAAAAACTCATGCTGGCCTCACAAAAGAACTAGAATTTGATTTTAAAGGATCCGAAGTGGGGCCTGGGCATTAATGTGTTTTAAAAGCTGCCCAGATTGACAGCCAAGGTTGAGGCCCTCTGCTTAGTGATTCTAATGTGCAGCCAGGCTTGAGAAAAACCTCTTCTCAGAATTGTTTGCAAGAGTGTTTTGGTTTCCTCTGTAATTTACAATAAATAAGAATATTTTAGGATTTCAAAAGTGTGTCGCATTTTCTAAACTCCTCATTTTATATGGGGTAATCAAGCTCAAAGCTTGGCATGTCTTAGAAGCTTTAATTAGGGCAAAATTAAACCAAATAACAATTAATCTTCCAGTTATTCTGAGCTGCTCAGATACTTCATACATGTTTGCTAATTGCTAATTGCTCTTTCCTCTTTTGAACATTAGCTGAAAATGTCACCTGCCTGAGAGGTAGCATACTCTATGCCTACAACTCCTGGACCCATAGACTATCTGGGTCGAGGGGAAAAGCAAGTAGAAAATGGATTTTTGTTAAAGGCCCAGACAGAAAAGAGGGGAGTTCTGCTGTATGCTACGGGGAGTTCCAGAGGAAGTTACAGGCGTTCTCTCTCTCATGAGAAGAAAGCATAACTGTGGTAAATAAACTTGCTATAAATTCAATAGAGACTGCACCCAAGTCCTCTAACTAATTCTTGTTATAGTGCAGACTCAGCAACTAACCTTCCTTGCAAGCCCCATTTCTCTTCCCTGTTTCCTGTTCTATTGTCTGTAATAAAAGAATAGAAAGAAGTAGTATGAGGAGAGTAAAAGTAGTATAAATTCCTGAACCTGGTACACAGAAGATGGTTAACACATATTTGATGGATTAATAAATAAATAGTATTCTTCAGGGTGGAATGGATTTGGTGTCAGGTGGCTCTGTCTTAGTTATAAGGGGAATTAATAACTCAAGTATTTGGAGACGATTCCCATCATAAAAAGATTTACCCTTAAGAGTGTCCTATTCTGGAGACCCAGGTGAGAGTTATTACAAGTGTTCAGTGGATTCCACAAAAATGGAATCATGTAGGAAATTCTGAAGCACAACATCTCTCTGCACACGTATCATCCCAGAGTCTTCTCAACCTGGCCAGGCAGGTGCAGGTGTAATTAGCATTGTTTTACACAGAGGCACTCATGTTATAGCTCTGCCCCTGCCCCCATCCTGCACAAAAGGATGCTGGGTGAAAGTAACTCCTTTCTGTACCGTAGATCTCTGCTGGAAAGGCACATTAATGTTCTAGTTGTGCTTGCCTTGCCGATCTTGGGCAAGCTGCAGTTTGATGAAAGGAAAACAGAAGTGAATACGGTTAGGCTGATCCTTTCTTGCTCCCTCTTCTTCTTTCTGTCATTTATTTGCCAAATGCTTAACTGGAACTTAGTATGGACTGGGCACTCAACCTGGTCACTGCTTTCAAACAAATTCAAACTGGTCACTGCCTTCAAAGACTTGCAGGATAGTAAGAGGAAAAACTTGAGTCAGAAGAGAATTGCAATGTGAATCATTCAAGCAACAGAAAACCCAAAATTACTTATACTGTGAAATCTGTTGCCCAAGGTGGTCAGGAATGGGCTGTCCTAGTTAATAAAATATTGTGGTTAATAAAGAATGGCCACGCGTTCCATGTATGGATTACCACTTTCCCAAGAATTAAAACATGGTACAAAAGAAAGCAACCAAGGTTTGCTGATGGCCTACTGCCTGCCAAAATAAGGCACTTCACATGTGCCATTTTGTCTAGCTGTCACCACAATCCTGAGAGGTAGCTATTAACCTTGTACCTTTACAGATAAAGAGGCTGAAACTCATGGAGGTTAAATGACATGTTCAAGATCAAAAGGCTCATAATCCTGATACAGTCAGAATTTGAACCCAAGTTTGTCTGTCACTAAATCCTATACTCTTTCCATATTGTGTTTTACATGGAAATAACTTCTAAAATAGCATCTGCTTAGACACCACCCCCAAATATTTGTTGAATGGATGCTTTGACTGATTAAATTAATGAATGAGGGCTGGCCCCGTGGCTTAGCAGTTAAGTGCGTGCGCTCCGCTGCTGGCGGCCCAGGTTCGAATCCCGGGTGCACACCGACGCACCGCTTCTCCAGCCATGCTGAGGCCGCGTCCCACATACAGCAACTGGAAGGATGTGCAGCTATGACATACAACTATCTACTGGGGCTTTGGAGGGAAAAAATAAATAAATAAAATCTTAAAAAAATAAAAATAAATTAATGAATGAATGAAGCAAGTTCTACTGAACATCATTCTATCTAATCTGTCATGATTCAGAAGCTCCTTCAAGATCTTGCTGTACCTCAGTCATAATGAATATCCTTCATTATGTTGAAAGCAGCATAATTTTGTACAGTTTCTCATACTTTATTCATGCATCCACTACCTTCATTGGTTTTGCCATGTTTGACCACTCTTTATGCAACTGTTTTTATAGAATTCTTTAAATCAACTCAGCTTTATTTTTTTAATAAAACGGTATATCCCTGTGGTAAACGAATGACCAGTATCACTAGCACTGGGAAATAGAGGATATGAGCAAACATAAATACAATGAGAGTAAGTGGTGTTATTAAATTCTACCCAGATACCATTATCTACCTGGGAGCCTCCTGTTTTATTAAAAGGAAAAATAGCTAGTGTTAGAGGTGTGAGGGTCTAGTTGCAAGTTACACATAATTTGAAGGATTGCAGTAGAATTGAAAAGGGAATAAATTCCTCTCTGAATAATCCAATTCCCTTTAGGCCTGGATTCTGCCCTATCTAAAACCATTTTGCATACTTCTAATGATACGTGCCTCATATTTTGGGAAATACTCTTTCAGTGGAAACTATAGATATTGAAGTGAAACATCTGAGTGGCTGCGAATTTTATTAACTGTATATCCTACAGTGAACCTCTTGGAGCCAGTTTCCTCAACTATAAAAGAGTAATGATAATATATATTTCATGGTCATATTTTCAAGACTAAATGATATAGTTATAAAGAGCCTGGCACATAGTAGGTAATACCCTAAATATTAGTTCCAGTCTTCTTTCCCCTTGTTGATAGAAAAGGAGAAGCTTCTACAGTGGGCTTGTATGATGTGGTGGTTAAGACTACTGGGTGGTTTGTATGATGTGGTGGTTAAGAGCACTGGTGGTTAGGGGCACTCAGGATTTAGCAATACATGGATCTGAGCCTGACTGTGCAATCTTAGGCAAGTTGCTTAACCTTTCTGTGTCTTAGTTTCATTCTTTAAAAAGAGGATGGCTCTGGGAAGACTAAATGAGATCATGTGTTAGCAGAGGCCTAACATACAGTAAGAACAAGTGATGGTTGTTTCTATTTCTATCACTGGTGAGAGGAGGGAGTATTTGGAAGACAATAATGTAATTTGATCCATATGAAGAAAATGAGCCTGGATAATAGGTGGCGGGAGGGCAATCAGCTGCACAGGTGGGGCATGTTGAGAGGTGAGAACTACCTCAGAGCAGTGGCTCAAGAATTCCACTCTTGCCCAAACTGGATCAGGCAAAGGACAGAAAGCAGACCAAGGGATTGCCCAGATAATGACAGGAATCTCCTGGGAAATGGGGGTGGGACGGGTCTCCTCAGCTCCCACTCTGTACAGAACTGAACTGTGAAGGCAGACAATGGGAGAATGTCTTGTTTTCTCTTCAGCTTTATTCATAGTGACGGTCCCTAAGGAACAGTACACGGTAGACTACGGCAGCAACGTGACCCTGGAGTGTGATTTTGACACTGGAGGTCATGTGGAACTCACAGATTTAAAAGCCAGTTTGCAAAAGGCGGAAAATGATACATCTTTGCACAGTGAAAGAGCCACTTTACTGGAGGATCAGCTGCCCCTGGGGAAGGCCTTATTCCACATCCCCCGAGTCCAAGTGAGGGATGCGGGGCAGTACCGCTGCCTGATCATCTATGGGGTCGCCTGGGACTACAAGTACCTGAGTCTGAAAGTCAAAGGTGAGTAGCTTCAGGGACTGGAATCCGTGGAGGCATCTCTTCAACCCAGGACTTGTATTAGCTGCAAGTAAGAGAAGCCCACTAAAGCTAGCTCAAGCAAAAACTGGGGGGATAGTCATAAAGAGACAGAGCTACCTTAGAGAAAACAAAAGTATCTGCCCAGAAATATTTTTTGACATCTGAGTATAAAGCAGCTGAGGTGATGGTATACAGGAGTAGGAGTTGCAGGAATAAAAGGGGTCTAGAGGAAGCCAGGAAAATGAATCCCTGAAAGGCGGGGGGGACCAAAGATAAATTTGCCTAATCCACAATTCTTCCTAGGAACAACCCTGACTTTATTATTAAGCAACTCTTTCAGAGTCCAGAGTTTTTTAAACCATGGTTTGCCATCCATTAATCTCAATTTAGTGAGTAGCAACCAGGTGGCTGATTTTTGCCCAATAAAATGAATAAACCAAATGAATGGAATAGGTCAGAGTCCATCACATAGTAGGGCTGAGTGTGGTTTTGTGAAACTCTTATTTCAGAGGGGTGTATGTGGTGTGTGTGTGTGTGTGTGTGTGTATTGGCTCATGGTGTAAACGTTTTCTCTCACTGAGTTATAGTCTAAAAAGTTTGGAAAATACTACTCTAGTTCCAGGCTCATCTATTGCAGATGAAGCAGCTGAAGTCCAGAGAAATGAAGTGGGGCCCCTGACGAGCCCAGTTAAGTCAACAGCTGTCCCCATTCCTCTGGTTCAGGGCTCTCTCCACCACAACCTGGGCCAAGAACCTAAATCTGAAGAGAATCTTAAAGTTCTTATTTGTTCTGGGAAAAGTCATTGAGGAAAGACAAGTAACAACTGTAAAAGAATAGATTTGGCTCTGTTCCTTGGCTTGTGATTTCAGCCTTCATTGACTTTCTGAGTTAAACTATGCCAGTTTTTTCCTGTCCCCTCCCTATTCCACCCATTAGGCCTCAAAGGCTCTGTTCTGTCTTCTGAAAGTTCTGTGTATTTTGGTCCCTAAAGACCACTGACCTTGGCAGCAATCATGTGACTTTATGATCTGGTACAAAGAAGGACAAACTAGAAAGATTAGACATAAGGGTGAATGTTGTTTTCACCTGTGACCTTGAATGGATTATTTCACCTTTAATAATCTCACATTTTTCTTATTTGTAAAAGGATAGTAATAGTAGCACCTACCACATAGGATTATTGTAAGAATTAAAAGAGATAATGGACATAAAGAACTGAGCGTGTGGTGAATGTCCAGTGATTTGGTTAAAAGACTCTATTATAGGGACAGTGACCTCCTCATACCTCAATTATCAATGAGTCATCAGGAAAGCTATTAGCCTGGATATAACTGCCTTCTATCTTTAATGCATTTCCCACGTCCAGGCATCAGCTGGGAGGAACTCCAGAACATTGAAGTTCATCTGAGTTCAATTAACAGGAAGAAAGAGGTTTATACATTCTCATGACCTTCTAACATACTTGGGTATTTGCAGTCCTACATCACTGCCCCCATGTCTGTTGATCTCTATTTGAAAGCTATAATGCATCTAGGGTCTTTGGGCAATTTAGGGCCAGTCATCCCACTCTTTCTCTCCAGCTGAGGGCTGCCCCTCATTCCTGGGAAGACACTCTGCCTGCTTCCCCACCTAGACCAGGGATGGCTCAGGTGTGGAACAGATTTATTCCTTAAATCTTAATTATTAATTCTTTAAATCCTTAATGGTCTTCAAACTAGGGTATATGGGGGTCACAAAGACTTTGTAAGGGATGCACAGGCACACGCAGTTTTAGGAAATGAATTTCTAGATCTTCATCTTCCCCAAGCACTTTTCCCCCAAATTGAGTGTGCCTGAGAATGTGCCTTCCAGGCAAGGCTCTTGGAGTTCCCCTAAAATACTTCCTCTTTTATTATTGCTTTCTCCCACTTCAGAAAAAGCCCACCTCTCACCCATCATGAATATAGTACATTGTCCCGGGGTACAAAAACCTCCATAGTGCTAAACAAAAGAGTGACTGGAAATATTGATACCTTATCAAACTGTAATAACTAACAAATCCTTTTCAAATCAGATAATATCAAATTCTCTGTTTTAACACAATTGAAAGAGGCTCTAGCAGAGTTAATAGCTGACAATAAAAAATGAAGTAATTTTTGCCATATAAGTCATAAAACATTCAAAGAATGAAATGGCATTACTATAATAAAACTGCTTCCATTCCCACCTACTTATTCATATGAACAAGATTCTTTAGCTCTTATAGCTACAAAAAATGAAAATAGAAATAAAATTGATACTGAACCTTGTCTTATTCCAACCATAAGTTATAGGCATCCTTAGATTCACGAGCAAATTGAAAAAGAGTCCCATTCATCCCATTAAGAGATACGTTTCTAGTAAATTTTTATCTTTATGTTTAATAATTATCAATATTCAGACTATTTTACATTTTTATTTTACACGTGCTGATAATAATGGAAATTAGATTTCAATGCAGAAGAAAACTTTGATCACTTAAAGCCTTATGGTCACAAGAAAAAAATTAATTTCAATAGCTATCCATATTTTGTTGTTGCAAAGAATCATAAGGATAGTCAATAAAAGAGCTTTCATATATGTTGCATTAGGATAAAATCCTGTAGAAAAAGTGGAATGGGAACTGAGGTTCAAGGAACAAAAAGGAGCAATGCAAAGCTCTGACCATTAGAGAAGAATTTTTGTATGTATTTTTCAATGGATGGTTGTGTGTATAAAAGACACCTTCTTTGATATCTAGATGACATTGGATACATATGGAAGAGTGAAATAATTGTTTTACTAAAAATATAAAAGTTCATAAAATGGTAAGCAACATATATTTTCCAATACAGAAACTTAACGAAAAACTTGAAAAGAATCAACTTAATAAATATGTGAGAGGGTGCACACTGCATCACAATTCTTTTAGGAGGAATGCAAGCCAAAAAAAAAAAAAAAAAAGTTGAAGATAATTACCTAAGAATATTCTACCTTGTCTCTGAAGGAATCAGGGGAAATCTGGGGCCCCAGTTAGGATTTGCTTAAATGGAATAGGACTAGACGAAGGAAGTGCTTTTACCTTAAAATGCCTGATCTATGGCATAAACCTAGACAATGGGTTTATAGCACCTTCTCTGATGTTCGGGTAACAGTTTGTATTAAATACAGTGAAAAGAGAACTGATTTCAAAAGCACAGGGGGAAAAATACTAGCTAGACTGGATAGTGAGTCTAGAAGAGACAGTAGTAATAAGAGGCTACAGTTTCTGAAAAGCCAGGTTGCGACTATAGGCTGTGAGTAATCTGTCTGAGGAAGGGCAAGAAGTGTGCCTGAAGACAAGAGCACAGTAGCCCAGAAAGGCCTGGAGAGTCCAGGGATCTCATGGAGGAGCTTGGGCTGAGAACTGGCCTGTGCAAAGGCTCTCAGACAGGCACAGAGCAAATACTAAGAACAGAAGGGCCGAACCAGCCTGATGGCCCGGGCAGGGCGTGAGAATGGGCATGGGAGAGAGCCAACACCCGGCATGGGCTGAGGCTTACAGAAGTACTTCAAACAAGAAAAAGGCCCAAGATAGACAGGAGTGCAACTTCAGCAAGTGGAGGAAGGAGGCAGTATGGCTTCCATTTTCTCTCACAAGAGAAATGGCCTTCGCCCTAAGAAGAGAAGACAAAGGGCATGGGGAGGAAACAGCCCAAAAGAAGCAACGCAGCAGTGAAAAGATGACTGTGGTTTAGCCTCTAGGCCCAGAGAAAGCATTTGCTAAAAGAACTTACTGATGGGGCTGTCTGTTCTCAGTGTCTTTTCTCCATTGGAGAAACAGAAGGAAATAAGAAAAGCTAAGAAAACAATGTCCTGAAGTTTGAAGGGGGAAAAAGCTCCTGGGAATTACAAGCTGTTTAGCCTAATGTTCCCCTCCAGGCCGTTTAATAGATGAACTAGGAGCAATCCTAAAAGATTATTTCAGTGATTACTGGAAACCTGCCTGAATTCTCTAAGACCAAGGAATGTAAAACTACATTTTTTCACCTTCGTTACTGTCATGATGATAATAAAGCAGATGAACTAGTAGCTGTGTACAGTTTATTTCAGAAATGATAGAGTTGCCAGTAACATGTATCAGATTGTCAGAGACAATCAGGAAAACAGAAACCATTTAATCCAGTGGAAACTGAAATCTGGAAATAGTGATTCTTTTGATGGAAGAGACTGAGAAGCCAACCAGGGAACAGGAAAGCAAATTAGTGATTTGCAATAGCAGAGAGCTGCCACCACCTCTGGGCTGGAGGGAAAGGAGGAAGGCAGGGGAGCCCAGGGGCCAGAGTCTCTTGACAGACACTGGAACCCCAATGGGCCTATCCAGGGAAGAGATGCAGCTGCTGCTGGAGAGGCCATTATACGCGTAGGGCGTAGAGGAGAAATGCTCTAAGTTCTCCTTATGCTCACCCTCCAGTCTTCCTATCTTGCCCCCTATTGGCTATCAAGAGCCTGGGGTACACAGCCTACAGGAGTCAGCCTTCCCGCAGTATAGAGCAGAGAAGAAAAATTGAAGGATGGATCTGAGGGCAGGCAGGTCCTGGACTCACACAGTGCACATCTTGTGCACAAAGTGGTAAAATGTAGGATGAATAATAGTATAGTTGACTGGATCTATAACAAAATGAATGAAACTAGTACAGTCAAGTGCCACATAACGACATTTCAGTCAACGATGGACCACATATATGACAGTGGTCCCATAAGATTAGTATCATATAGCCTAGGTGTGTAGTAGACTATATCATTTAGGTTTATATAAGTACGTTCTGTGATGTTCACACAATGATAAAATTGCCCAACAACGCACTTCTCAGAATGTATCCCTACCATTAAGCGATGCGTGACTGTAGTTGTTGACTCAGAGCCAACAAAGGGTGATTGATGGTCTTGGGTCAACCTGGAGACAATCTCCAAGTGCCAAGGGGTCTGTTATAGCCAGCCTAGCTGGGCAGTAGATCATTTATGTAAGAAAATTGATCTTATGACCTTAGGCTGTATTAAAACCCTGTGTTGAGCCTAAAGTGTGCTCAGCGCATAAGTAATTAGTCACACTATACTTTGTGCTGCTTAGATAATATCTGGAATATAGGTTGTGTGACATTGGCAAAAATAAATTGAATCCAAAGACCAGTATCCGGAACTGGGTCTGAAAACTGTGTCCTGCGAGATACAGTGGAAGAAAGCAGGCACGTTTTACCTAGACGTGAAAAGACTATATGGAGTCTTGCCAGTTATCTTCAAATACATGAAGTGTTGCCTTATCATATGGAAGAGCCAATAATAATTGCTAACACCAATTGAATATTTATTATGTTCTAGGTGCCTAACTCATTTAATCATCCTAACACCCCTGTTAAGGATAAGTATTATCGCATCCATTTTATAAATGAGAAACCTGAGGCCTTGACAGGTCACGTAACCAGCCCTTGGCTCACGCCTAGTCAAAGTTTTCAGAATCTGAAGCCCACGTTCTTAACTACTATGCTTACCATAGTTGTTTTACTAACCAGACAAGTACGAATGGGTTGAAGCTACAATGAGACAAAATTTGAATTGGCATAAGGATGGTCTTCCCAAGGAGAGTTAACTTTTGTCTAATCATGGCAGTGACTGCTTCTGGAAGTAGAAGCTTCCATTCACAGATATATTTAATCAAAAGTTAGTTATATAGGAGGTAACAATATCAGAAAAGAACTATTATTAAAGGTAAAAAGGGACATTTCATAATGATAAAAATGTCAATTCGACAGGAAGACATAACAATCCTAAATGTCAATATATCTCTAACAATATAGCTTCAAAATAAATAAAACAATAATTGACAGACCTAAAAGGAGAAATAAACCAATCTACAATTACATTTGAAGATTTCAACTCATCTCTATTATAACTGGTGGAACAAATAAAAAAGAAAATAGAAGAGTTGAACAACATAGTTAGCCATCTTGACCTAAGTGGCATATATAAAACTTACACTCAACAGCTGAAGAATACACACTATTTCCAAGTACATGTGAAACGTTCATTAAGATAGTTATCTAGCAAAGTTGCTGCAGAATATATTTCTCATTAAGTAGGAAGTTGGGCTAGTTGAATTTTAGCATCAATTTCACCTCTGAAATTCTAAAATTTACTCATCTTTTCCTAAGAATATCACTCTCAGTCCAGCTTCCCCATTGTGTGTTGCTGATAAGGATGCCTCCTCAGCCACTTCCCAAATACAAAAGAGGCTGTGGTGGCACCTTCAATATTGTATAAATAGGATGTGGGCTCCTGTCCCTTCCCCAAACCTTGCTGATTCTTTTGGTTGAACATCTCTCTCCTCTGATCCCTCATTTCTACATCCCAAGTCAAAGCCTCAGCCCAGCTCCGATTCCTGGCCCTCCTACCTGAAATCACCTCTCAACTGGCCACTAAGATCAGCTTCTTGTCCCAAGCTACCCTGAGGGAACAGGCCAGACTCTCACCCACAACACACTTAACCTATGAATCCATTTATTCTCCTCCATCCCCACAAAGACCCCAGAGCTTACAGAAATAAACTACAATATAATAGGGTGAAATGATTATAAGAGGACATCAAACCAAGGGAAAATAAGTGTAGATAGATAACATAAAACGAGAGATAAAGTGAGTACTCAAAATGTATGCTTCAGATACTGTTTGATTGATAGAGGTAGACCAAAATTTGGCTCCAAGGAGACTGGTGCGTCTAATCAGTTCAAGGCCTTCAGTAGGCTGCTTCAGATCCTGATTCTCCTATATTCTGCTAGTTCTGAGTGCCCTTAAGTCCTCTAAGAAAACAAATCCTTCTTCCTGTGTATGTTGCTCCATCCCTAGACTTTTGCAATTACGTAGAGAATCATCTTTTTATAATGATTCCAGTGCAGAATTCAGAATACCGTGGCCATGAAGGGCATGAGTTCAAGGCACTCCACCCACCCCGCAGATTTCAGCTTTTCCTTATTTACAAAATAGGAATACGCATTTTACCTACCTCATAGGGCACTTCATGCAGTTTAAATGACATAATATATGTTAAGGGGATGGAGTCAGGTTTTAGAGCCTCTCACCCCTGCTCCTTTCCCAGTTCTTGACTAAGTAAGATATACCCAACTGTTGACTATTTTAGGCAGAATCTAGGTTTTTATTTTTTTTCCTCCTAATCTCAAAGAGAACAGAGGAAAGGGGGGAGTGGAAAGTCAATTTTCTCTTGAAGATATTAGAAAAAACACTAAAGAAAGTGAGATATGGGTGTTATCTAGTGATTTTATTTATCCATCCTCTCTCCTGTCTCAGTCCCAACTGCGAAATTATTTACAGTAATACATGAAGCCACCAAGTATGGTGGTGTAAAGCACTGTTGCTCTATAATCAAGCTTACAATGTGCAAATATTGGCTCCACCAGTTATTAGTCCTGTGACTCTGGGCAAAATATTCAACCTCTCTATCTTCAGTTTCCTCCCACAAAAATCTGGAATATCAGCAATGCCATTTTTACTGTGTTGCAAGAACTAAATAACTTAATGTGTGTATAATAGCATGATATCTAGGACAAAGGAAATGTTTAAAAACTTAAAACTATTATTACTTAATATTGATAATGATAATTTTATTCATTTCACATGGCATTGAGTACAGAGCTCTACAGGAATCAGAAAAGAAAGACATTTCTTTTTCTTTCTATTGTCCAGCTTCCTACAAGAAAATAAACACTCACATCCTTAAGGTCCCAGGGACAGATGAGATAGAGATCACCTGCCAGGCAGAAGGTTATCCCCTGGCAGAAGTGTCTTGGCCAAATGTCAGTGTTCCTGCCAACACCAGCCACACCAAGACCTCTGAAGACCTCTACCAGGTCACCAGTGTTCTGCGCCTAAAGCCACACCCTGGCAGAAACTTCAGCTGTGAGTTCTGGAACGCTAATGTGAAGGAACTTACTTCAGCCATCATTGACCCTCAAGGTAAGAGCTGCCCACCCTTCCAGTTCTATCAATCAGAATTCAGGCAAGAAATAGATGGCACACTCAGAACAAGTAATTTGAGGAGAGTGTAATAAAGGGACTGTTTATGAAGGTGTGATCAGGATTTAGCGAAACTACTAAGGATAGTGCAGGCCCCTGGGGCTTCAACAGCGGGGGAGAAATTACCACTGTTGGAGAGGTTACTGGAACCTGGAGAAGAGAGCTGTAGAGAAAGCACCACTTGACAGGAGCTGTGGCTGCAGTAGAGGGATGTTGCCATCTGCAGCAACTCCAAAAGGCGGAAGCTAGGTGAATGAATATCCCAATCTCCTTCTCTTCCCACCCTCCAGTCTCCTGCTGGTGCCTCCCATTGGCTGAACCCAGCTGGAAGTCAGAGAACAAAGGAGTCCACTAATATGGACTCAGGGCTCTCAGAGCTCAGAACAGAGTGTTCAAGTATAGAGAATGGATCTGAAGAGGAAACAGAAAATATCCAGCACAAAAGCCAATCATGATGATTCAGTGCTATGAGTCAGCAGGATAAATATTACTGCTGGCTTCGCCAAGTGGTTTTGGGGATTTCCAGGAAAACTGGACTCCTACAAAAATCTTTCAGAGCCTTCGCTGGCTATGCTGAATCCCATACTTTAGAACTTCATACACCAGCAAAATTTCAAACAATTTTGGGAGTCTGACAATTTTTTATTTGCCCAGTAAGAACATTTATTTGCTAAATAAGGGCAACTAACGTCTAGTATCACAATTATTTCATAAGACACAGATCATTGCATCACCAAGCCCATATGTTTCCTATTGCTCCTGTAACAAATTACTGCAAACTTCGTGGGCTTAAGACAACATAAATTTATTAGCTTACACCGCTGGAGGTCAGAAGTCCGAAAAGGGGTTTACTGGGCTCAGATTAAGATGTCAACAGGATTGCAGAGGCTCTAAAGGGAAAATTTATTTTCTTGTTTTTTTCAGCTTCTAGAGGCCCCCTGCATTCCTTGGCTCATGGCCCCTTCCTCCACCTTTAAAGCCAGCAATTGCATTACTCAGACCTCTGCTTCTGTCATCACATCTCTGTCTTTAACTTTTCTGCCTTCCTCTTCCTTCTTTTAAGGACCCTTGTGATTATATTAGATGCCTCCCTCCTACCTCAACCCAACAATTCAGGATAATTTTCCTATTTCAAGGGCCTTAATATAATCACATCTGCAAAATCCTTTTGCCATGTAGGGTAACACATTCACAGGCTCCAGCGATTAGAACATGGACATCTTTGAGGGGAATAATTATTTGCTATGATACCCATAAAGGATATAATCTCAGAATAAAGGACAGTCCCTAGTACTGATTAAATTTGACTTTATAGAAAATTCACTATGTCGTCATTATATTTCCCTTTTTTCCCTTTGTCTTAGTTAGACAAAATAGAGCCTATGATAGGGACTTGTGTGGCATGCAGGTGGTGACCCCAGGGAGCAGAAGTGAGAGGTTTAGGAGATTAAGGCAGGAAAGAAGGAAAAGCAAATGTAAGGGTGCACTATCAAAGTTGTTGGTGTGGGCGACCAGAGCTCAAATACTCAAGGATCACCTGAGAAGTGTACAGATGGCCTCCTAAGATGTTTACTCAAAGGACTCCAGGCGGGAGACTAATCCATCTGCTTTCACTCCCTGTGGTTGACAGTTGTCCCTAGGAGTGTGAACTCCCTTCTGCTGTGAGCTGAATGAGCACACCACAGCATCTGTAGCATCAGAGACATCCCAGGGCAGAAAGCGAAGTACCCACTTGAAGTGAATCACTAACCCTGAAGTGAGTCGAAGCCTACCCAGAATTCTACTTGATCTGTGGCTGAAATCAGAGGTGAAACTGAGAGGAGGTGAGGCAGGACTACAACAGTCTATCCCTCGCAATGCTCAAGTCTACTCCTGCCCTACATTAAGGCCAGTGTCTCTGAGCCTTCAGGCAGGAAAGCAGACACAACCTCGGCAAAAGATTTCATATACAAGAGTTCGTGGAACAAGCCACAGATCCTGCTGCTGCAATTGAGCCCAAGCCATAATTGATATTTGTTATCTCTCTCATCCATCATACGTTCCAGATTTCCCTCACTCAGCACTCCAGGTGGAATAGTTTGTTTGCCTGGGGGCGAGGTATGAGTCAAACTGTTCACCCTGGGAGATCTGAGCCCTTAGTTGCCTTGCCCTTAACAGACTAAGGTTACTGCAATTGCCTTTTCCTTGTAATTACTGGGCATGGAAGTAACAAGAATCAGAGAATCAGTGGATCCCTCAGTTCCAGACATAGTCTTCCTTGCCTCCATTTTGTAGCGGCATTCATGTTCTTCATGGTAATCAAGATTCCTTACTCCACCAGTACAATAATTCTTTTCTTTGCCTGCCAGTCTGCCAGTGGGTAGAGCTCAAGCTGACGAGGCAGTAGCTATAACTTTAGATGCGGTAGAATATATCCCTTGGTACAACATCCCTCAGTAGACACATTTGCTGCAAGGAAGCTGGACCTTTAATCCAGTAGAGCCTATATTTGTGGAGATGAGAAGCAAAAATCCTACAAGTGGGTCACTGGAAGAGGGACTATCCTTCAGCATTGGGAGAGCTCTGGCACAGAAACAGCACGTGGTTGAGGCGAGATTGTCAGGGGGAAGTGAGTCAGAACCTACACAGAACCATCCATCATTCAGCCACATTCAGCCATGGCTGAAATCAGGGGGGGGACAGACAGGATATGAGTTGGAGCATCAGAGATATCTGCTCTATCTCAAATTAACGTCAATTTTATCATGGACTGGCACCAATCCATAGACCAGAATGAGAACTTTGAAGTGACTCAATGCCCATCTCATTATTAATTTCCTAGTATTCTCTTCTGGAAAAAAAAAAATCCTCCTGATACAGTTTTCAGAGGCAGCCAGCTGCGATGTCATCTCTAACTCCTCAATTCCCCACTTCCCCACCTATCCATACTTCACTACCCAATTCTAACACTAAAGTTAGCCCAGCTGCTTTCTAACTAAATTTTTATGGTAAAGTGAGGAAGTAAAGAGAGGAGTCATGCTAAGGATCTTGATAGAAATAAAGATATTAGAAACATAACATTTTTCGGGTCAGCTTTGGGTAAAAATAGTGAATTAGGCAAGCTGGTCTTTCAACATTCTCTACCTCTCTTTTTGTCACAGCTAAGAGCACCAGACTTGTCACCTTACGAAAAGTGAGCTATAACTAATGCATACCAGAGCTTTAGCGGCTCAAATATTAACAGTTCCAGGGGAATTAATTTTTTCCTGAAATTGTTTACTCAATTATCCCTGTTATGTGGAATTTCCTGCCTGGTTAAGCGTAGATCAGCAGTTTGGATGAAATCTGGTTTTCTAGAAGGACACTTATATAAGGATCTTTGCAGGGAAATTGGGGCCTGGGTAAGGTGAATTTGGAAATAACTAGAACCTACCTTTTGCACCACTGATTACATCAGTGTTTTTTTCTTTGTGGAAGGGCCAATTGACCATTCCTCCAGAGGACTTGAGGCTGTGAGAAGTCAAGAGTGAAGTAAGGTGGCCCCTCTCTCTCTGGGAGCCAACACAGCTGACTAGTCAACAATCATGGGAGCGGCCTGTGAGGTCTGCATCAGAGCTCAGGACCTTTTTGTTACTCATGAATGCAACTGGCAAGGAGATGGAGAAATCTTTGTGCAGTTAGAGATTCTCAACCTAGTTTTACCCATCCTTCCCAGCTTTGTATTCTCCTACTATCCCTGGACATGGAGCCTCTTCTCTGGTCAGCTCCCTTTCCTCTCCAGGTACTCTCTGAACTCGCTGCACCTCTCTCACCTCCATGACTTCTTTGCTCAGGCAGTTTCTTCCACATAAAACATCATTATTCACCCTCTTCTCCAGCTCCAAGCCCACCCTCTCTCCAAGGCACCTCAGGTAACTCCAGAGTACGAGGGGTCTTTCCCTCATCTTGTCTCCTAAGATGGATTACCTGTACCATTTCTTTGTTTGCCTGTGACTGTGCTTTTCTCTTTCATTGCTATTTATTTTTCATGTATTTTAATTGTTCACATGAGTCTTCTTTATACCCAGACTAAAGCGAAAGCAGAGTGCTCTTCCCATAATAAGTGCTCAATAAATGTCAGATTAATGGGTTGGAGACCATGTCTTGGATGACTCTGTCACATCATCCTAGCCGCCAGACTGTGTGGACAGAAAGATAAGAGCAGTCAAATGATCCCCCAGCTTGTGGTATAAATATCAGCAACAAAATAACCAAAGTCACACATCCTCCCATGGGTTCCTTGTTTCTATTTCTCAAAGGCATTTTTGAATTGTCTATGACTTTCCCCTTTGTACTCATTCTCATAAATTGAGCTGCTCACTGCTGACTTCTGTGACCCACCACAAGCTTCTCCAAAAGTCAATGAATAAAACAAATACAGCAATGAGAGTCTGGGGGTGGGAGATGCTCTTAAATGGATGTCTGAGCATCCTAACTTTCTATCAGAAATTAAGGAGCAATGAGATTATTTTCGTTTTGAAATAGGGTTTCTCCTGCTCAGCCAGTTGTTGCTGTTTCATTAGGAAATGTAATGGGACTGGAGCACAGGAAATAACTATACCAAGATCCTTATGGGGTTGGCAGAGAAGCCCTCCCAGGAGACCTAGAGGTGACTCTCTGGCAGTGGTCAAGAGCATGGGCTCCAAAGTCAGATGGACTTGAATTTCAAATCCCTTTCTGCTACCTACTAGCTTTAAGAACGTGAACACACAACTGAGCCACCCTAGAACTCAAGTCTCTCATTTGTTGAATGAAGGTACATAATGGTAGATACCTTATAGTGTTATCGTGAGGATTAAATGAAATATGCTTGTCAAGTCCTTTGCACTCGGAAAGAGTGGAAATAGGGGGGGAAATATGGAACCTCTAGCAAGAGGCATGGCTTCTTGTGAGTGCCTGGGACTGTGGATAAGGATAAAACATATACTTTTCCCTTTGCATCGTCATATCATTGTTAAGTAGCATGCAATTATTATAAAACAATTTAGAAGAATATGTATTAGGATATAGGCTAAGTTGCCATAACAGAGACCTCAAAATACGACTGAATCAAGATAGAAAGATATTTGTCTCTCATGTAATATTCAGAGATATAAGGTGATTTAGAGCAGATAAGTAGCTATATTTCGTAAAGTCATTCAGTGATTCAGATTCTTTCCATCTTGTTGCTCTGCCACTCAGAGGATGCTGTCTGTTGAACTGTCAAAGCTGGGTCATGGCCACATCCATGTTTCAGCTCTCAAAAAGGAAAAGGAGTTGTGGAAGACACATCCAACGTTTTAAGGCCAAGACTCAGAAGGCCCATTCTGGTGGCCTGAACTTAGGTAACATGGCTGGCCACACCTAACTGCAGCGGAGGCTTGGAAATGTAGTCTTCAGAATCCATGTGTCCAGCTAACAGCCTAATACTAGGGAAGACAGGGAGAATGGATTTAAGGGATAAGCAGCAGTATGCCACAAGGTAACTAATGACAGGGAAGATCAGGCTAGGTGGGCTAGGTAGACAGATGATCAGTTCAGCCCAACAAATCCTTAATGACACCTTTCATGTAGCTGGTACCTGGTTCTATAGGGGATTCAGAAGTGACTTAGACAAAGTCTTTGCACTCCAAATACTTATAGTCTAAGCAAACTGATGTCCTGTTGGATGTTCAATGTTAGAAAGTCTTCAGGGACAAGTAGAGCTTCTGTATGTGGAAGGGATTATGCGGGAACCTGCACAGGACAAGAGTTTGCATAAAGGCACTGAGATAAGGACTTCTCCTGTTGTGGGGACAGTGAGGGTCCCAGGACTCCTTGACTCAGTGCTACATGCAGCAAGTGCTTAAAAAGCACTTCCTAGAAGTGAGGAGCAGATTGTAATGAGTATGGGTGATCCAGTGTGTAGATGAGCCAGGCTTCTGAATCCTTTTCTTTTTTAATGTTCATCACAATGTTTTGGATAGAGACAAATATCTGTGGGACCTGAGCTTTGGATAAGACAGATCTGGGTTTGCAATCTTGGCTTTGCTACTTACTTAGCAGTAATAACCTTAGATTATTTAGCATCTCTGAGCCTTACTTCCTGAATTCCAAAATGAAGGGCTTGGATTAAATGAAGTCAAATCCCTTCCCAGGTAAAACTATCTATGGTTCTCAGATGGCATTATCATGGGGAAGGGTGAGGGCAATTGGCAGGACTAAGCCCTCCCTCCAGAGCAGTTTTGCCAAGTTTTTACTGGACCAGGCTGTCATGTTTCTTCTGTATGAATTACTCTGGCTTTTGGAAAGAGCACAGCTTACCTTGGTACCCTTCTATCTCCCTATAGTGAACCCCCCTCCAGCCCTGCCCTTTGTCAGTCTGGGGCCCTCATTCTAACCTGTAGATATCCAGAGCTCTCCTTTACAAGGCTTTCCCCAGGCTCCAAAATTACTCTTCTCATCCACCCCTCTACTAAATTTATCTTTTCTTCAGGGCCAGGACCTTGATTAGCCGAGACAACGAAAAGGGCTAGTTGTAATAATTCACACTAAGGTGTGAATGACTGGATTTTGTATACTAACACTACCTATGATATTCTATTTTTTCGAAAGGATCTTGTTAATCCTTGAAATTGAATAACTAATGGTATAGATTCTAAACACTGTGAGTGCTTTACAGCGGAGTGGGGAGACATTTTGGGGCTGAGGGACTATCCTACTAGAAAGAGAGAGAGATGATGATGATGGTGATAGATAGATAGATAGATAGATAGATAGATAGATAGATAGACAGATAGATATAATATGATAGATGTATCAGAATGATGAAAAGCATAGAACCTGGAATCAGACAGCCTGGATTATATCTCGGCTCAGTTGCTTACTGTATAACTTTGGGAAGGTTTCCTAGGCTCTCTGTGCCTCACTTTCTTCACCAGAAAAATGAGAGTCATAGCAGAGCCTGCCTCATAGGGTGCTTGTGAGGAGTAAATGAGCTAATACATGCAGCACACATAGAACAGTACCTGGCATGGAGTAAATGCTCAGTTCAAATTGGCCATGCTGGGTATAACCCACTCAGATGGCCAACTGGTTGGTTTACCTCTAAGCCACCATGTAATGGGATTCTGGTGCTTTTCTTTCACCAGATGAGATGGAACCCAAGATCCCTTCAAGTTCGCTGCTTCATGTTTTCATCCCTTCCTTCATCATTGCTTTAATGTTCATAGCGACAATGATAGGCCTAAGAAAACAGCTCTGCCAAAAGCTTTATTCTGGAAAAGGTAAGTGAGTTTTATTCATGGTAACCAAATGCACTGGATGTCTGCAGTGTGAGGCCCTGCTTTGCCCCCTTGGCCTACAGCTTCCCAGTTTCACACTAAATCTATTCAGGGCTTATGAATCACTTTGGGCTCATCCTGATGATTTTTCCCCAGAAGAAAATGGCTCTAGTCTTCAGTGAGCTGAAATCCTGACACCGAATATTTTAAAAGGAATGTTTTCTTCCTGTGGCTGAAATAGTTTACTTTGTTCTCTGAGCTGAGAAGTATTATCAGCCTTGTGAGATCCGTGTTGTTTTGCAATGCAGACAGCTATGTCAGAGTTCGCTGGTGGGAGGATGCAGGATCCTTTCTGAGGATTCCTTCAGTTCTCATTCTTCCTTTTCCCATTCTGGGTGTGAGCTGGGCTAAGCCCTCCCCCTACCACCAGGAATCTGAATCCCTGGTTGGGTAAGGAAAGGAGAAAAGTGTGTGAGGCAATTTGGGGGCGGGGAAAGCACCTGTTTGGTGGTGCCCTGAGGTCTTTCACCAGCTCCCCTGGAGTCCCTCCTCAGCCTGTCATATCCTCACCAACCCACTCCTGTTCTATTGTGCCAGCTGGGACAGAGCTTGCCTGCAGCCTTTGAGCCCTATGCCAGAATATCTGCAGGCCTGTCTTGTGCTTTCCTAAACGGTCCCTTTGTCAGTACCCAGTGAGCTCCTCCCAACATATACACATGGCCTTGTCTATGAAAAGGAAATGAAATCTGAGAATAATTCCATATAAATCCATCTAAGAATTTGGAATGGTCACTATTTGAGGATTGAGGGGCTTTTAGGTGGTTGTTATCCTACATTTACAGTCTAACGTCTATATTCTCATCTGCCATGTAATATTATCATACTCTCTTTGTCCGTTGGCCTATGTGTGTGTTAGCTTGGGTGCTAACCACAAAACCCTCTACTGTAGAATCCAAGGAACTATTGTCAAAAGAAAGAGGGAGGTTGGGGGGGAAGGAGGAAGGGGAGAAAGCAGGGAGGAAAAGAGGAAGAAGAGAAAAAGAGAAAAGAGAGAGAGAGAAACTATAGAAGTGAAGGGGAAGGGTGCTTTACCACAGAGGAGGAATTACAGGGTGTCATCTGACAGAACTTTGACTAAACACAGTCACATCTGCAAATCTATGACCTCAGAGAGTCATGGCAGATGCAGCTCATTCTAATGAGAATCTTATCTCCTGCCATTCTTCTTTTACCTCCCTCACACATACCTCTCAGAAACAGCTTTATACCAAGGTTCTAGGCCTACGACCTGAGAACACATTAGTCACCTCCGAAAGGAGCAGCAGAGTCTTCTGTCCCTACCCACTTTGGGAGAATGAAATGGAGTCGTACTTAAAGGTAGAGAGGAAAAAAAATCCTCCCCTCATCCCTCATCCCAATCTCAACAGTGAGTGAGAATATCAGTAGCTCCAAGCTGAATGCAAGGCTCAGGTACCAACTGCGGTGGGAGAGATTTGTTACTAACAAGAGTTAAGTGAGTAAATTTGCAAATGATTCCTTTTTTGTTTTTAATGAACCAGAGTGAAATCATGGTTGCCTATACAATAACCTCCCTCTCTAACTCACGTGTGTTGGGATCCGCTTTCTTACACAGGAGATACAAGGATACGCGTGTGGAAATGCACACAAACTCACACGTCATGGAAAAAGTTTGAGAACTGCTGGTGGATAGAGCTTTAATCCAGGGTCAGAGGCTATGTGTGTACCTGGTGCTGCCTTTTATTGGTTTTATGATCTTGTACAAATCACCTAACTTCTTTGAGATTGTTCTTCTATCTGTAAAATGTGAAGTGACATGACAGTGAACATTACAGCTTATTGACCCAACATCACAGCCACTACTGTGGCTCAACCTGGACTAGAGCAGAGCCCTCTGAACTCGTCTCACTGCATCCACTCCTGCCTCCTCCAATACAGTCTATTTTCACTTTTAGCTGGAACAGGCTTTTAATGATTCTGAGTTTTCTCACGGAGTATTCACTCTTTTTAAAATACTTTCTTCTCCTTGTCCACATGAGTTGGAGTCATCCTTTAAATCTCAGCTGAGCTGTCATTTCAACCCACCCCTGATTCTACTCCCTCACCACACCCATTACATTAAATCCCCTTGTTAGAGGCTTCCTAGCACCGACTTCTCCTTTCAATACACTCAGCACACAATTACATATCTAGGACCTGTTTCAATAGCTTGGACTACAAATGCAATTGCATCCCTTTAATTTTCCAATTAATTCCTCAAGCACCCACCTGCCTATCTTAGCAAGAAGTCCAATGTCTCCCTCTTACAGCATGTACATCCCCACCTCCCACAAACTTTCAAAAGGCTTACTTAGCTTACTTAAGGGCCAGTGCTGCTTCCAAACGGGCAGGAAGGTTATTGGGGAGCTGGGTCAGTTCACCAGAGCACCCTGGTTTTGAGTTGCTGCTGTTTCTACTCCTGCCACACAACATATCTTTTCCCTCTGGGTGTCTCCATCCACCACGCGAAGTCCAGATCCCCACACAGATCAAAGTGATGCAAGAGGACAACCTTTCTGGCTCCCCTCACATGTTCTGCCACTGTGCCCAAAGCAAGACCCTCATGGGCTGCTGAGGCAGGAGGGGCTTCCTGCCTTAACCACAGCTGTGCCAGCCACCTTCTTCTGCTCTCGGCCTTCACGTTGAGCCTGGGACACCAGTTCTAACTTCCTTCTCTTGAGTTCCTCTTAGGGCCATTGCTGTCCTGAACTTCTCAGTCCATAGGAGAGAGTCAAGTAAAGAGGTAGCAGTCTCAGGCCCTTTCCTTCTAGAAGGCCGCTTGGCTCCTAAACAGATTTACTCACCTATGCCTCAAAAACCAGCTCTGCTCACCAAGCTGTATTGGGAGGGCAGCTATTGTCCATCCATAAAAGGCTCTGTGTACCATCTCCACCTCAGAGAAACCATCCAACAGTTCAGGGCTCCAGGGTGACTTGCTGGGTTCCAGAGAAGAATTTGGCAACTGCTATTGCAAAAATAATGTCAAGTTCTGCTTCATCTGCTAGTCTTTAAATTTCCTGAGTGCAGGGACTGTGTTTCTCTTACTCACCAACATACGTCCAGTGTCTAAAACATTACCTGGCATATATAGATGTTCAATAAAATTTTAAACACTGAACCCGCTATATGCCAGTATGTATGCTAACCTGCTCTGTACAACATAGTAGCCATCTGTGGTTATTTAAATTTAAATTAAATAAAAATTCAATTCCTTGGTCACATTTTAAGTGCTCACACATTGTAAGTGTTCAATCGCCACATGGGGACAGAGCAGATATACAATATTTCCATCATTGCTGAAAGTTCTATTGGGCAGTAGTGTGCTAGACCAACTTTATAAACTTCAGTTAACTTCACAGAAACTGCTTGAGGCGAGGAGTAGTGTCTACTTTGCAGATGAAGACATTGGAACTCAGAAAATATTCCTACAGTCATATAGCTGGAGTTTGAACACAGGTCTGACTGACTCCAAAACTTGTGGCCTTTCTGTTGCAAAAGTGCTTAATAAAAATTGGCTCAATCTGAATAGTATTATCTTTGGCCAATGGAAGGAGAGAGTCTCAACCTAAAAGAATTGAGTGACTTGTTCATTGACTTGCTGGGCTGATGGCAAAGCCAAGAATAGAATCCAGTAGGAGTTACTAGCCATAGAGACCAGATCTCTAGAACAGGTCTCCAGATCTTAAGAACAGTATTTCTCAAACTCTCTATGGTGAAGAACAGTTTTGTTTTTTTTTAAATTTCTAATATGTTAGGATCGATGCTTTTGTAATACCTATATACCAAAAATGAATTACTAAAAAATGAAATGGAAAGAACAAAGACATAAAACAATAAGCCCAATTTTTATTGGATTCAATAAATATAATATGACACAAATAAATATGATCCGAAAAAAACATAACATAGTAGAGGAATTACTATAAAAGTTTCTAAATGTTTACACTCGATTTCTGTACTCATCTCACCATGGACTGGTAACAAACAGTTCACCTACCAGCACCAGCCCGTGGACCACACTTTGAGTGGCACTGCCCTAAAGGACTGAGCCAGGACTTTATAGGGATTTAAACCAAAGGCCAAATATGCTAGCTTATAGTTGCATAAGAACCACGGAGAATGGCAGCACTGACCTCAGGCATTAGAGGAGCCTTCTCTGAAACTGCAACATTCAAGGACACTTTCTATGCATTAACCATTGGGCTCCTTTCATATGCAAACCCTCTTGGAGGAGACTGCAATGCTGGATAGAGGCCCTCAAAGTCCAGTCCAAGGTCAGGATGGTCATGAAGGAGTTACTAAAAATCTGGGGTACAGAGCAAAAGCAGAATTAGGGATGGACTCAGTTCAGGAATGCAGGCAACTGCAGGACATGGGCATCAAGCCCTGGAAGAAAATCAGAGTGAGAAGGAACATGTGAAATCAGGGGTTAAGAAAGAGGTGAAACCAGGGAAATACTCGTGAGCAACAACCCATTATGTGAACTTGTGCTTCTGCCCCGCTGAGTTACTGTAAACCAGTGTCAGTCATTTACACTCTAGTGCAAATTAATTGATCAGAACTTCTGCTCTGTGTAGGGCAGATAGGGAGAAGTGACAGTCAAGACTAAAGCAGAAGAGAGAAAGATAATTCTAGAGCTAGACATTTCTTGGGCTGAATACCCAAATTAGTAGTTCCTCAGGATCAGGCAAAGGAATGGGAAGTGGGGGGCCTTCTTTGCTCGCATTTTTTGCCTAAAGGTACAGTTTTACATTATATATTACTCAACCTGAGGTCTCAAGCTATGGTGGACATTTGAACTGTATATGCGGATTTATTTGGATTTACTTTTTGTTCTGCCATCTTTTAGCCTATAAACAAAACAATCTTAATCTTATTCCATCACTGGGATTTTTTCTTTTTCAGACACAACAAAAAGATCTGTCACCACAATAGAAGGGAAGTGAACAGAGCTGTGAGTAGTCATGATTTTTCTTTTCTTTTTCACCTCTTTTTCTCTCCCAGCTTGATTTAAGAGATAACCATTGTTCTAGAAATGCACAATGGGCAACTGAATAGTTTAGGCCTGTTCAGGATCTTCCTGTTCAGCGGCATTTCAGCTAGTTTTTCTTGCAACTCTGTGTTGTTCCACACCTTTCTTGGAGAATGAAGATGGTGTCTGCTGTAGAGCCACAGAACAATTATGTTGCTTTTGGTCTGTCCATATTCCTAAGTACTCCTAGGGAATACTGTACAGGACATCTGGGCTTACATACTTAGAAACATGGTTAAAATTTAACAACAAAGGGAAGAAAATCAACTGTGATGCAATCATATCTGATGTTTTTGCAACAATTCAGCACATTGTTCGGGGCTGTGGGTCAACAGTAATGTTGGGGGAATAGAAGTCTCTTCATGAGATTGCCAGGCTTGGAGCTGGGATTTGTGGAATAGAAACCATGTGATCTGGAGGTCAAGAGAAGTGGGGTTGCTGAAATTATTCAGGCTGGTTGGATGAAAATCTTAGACCCTGGGGAAGCGGTGTGTTAGGGGCCGACAGGCCTGTGTCATGTTGTAAAATGGATATTTCTAGTTTTCTTGAGAAAGCTGCCTTTTCTTTTGTAATCTAGGAATCACATGGTGTGACACATGAGTTCATGAGTTCACCAAAATGATGACAGGCAAATCATAGAAATTTCTGAATAACTTTGTATCAGCTGCTCAGAATACTCATAACTGTTCGTTTTAGAATTCTGCTGAATATTATCTCCAAATTCCAGAGGCACCAATTAGGAAAACAACCTTAGAAAACCTTCAAATACCAGAGTCTGTTTCTGGCTTATACATAAGACATGGCAGCTCATAAGCACAAAATGACTGAAAAGAATGAAATTGGCCCCTGCACCCTCCAACTCCCCAGCTCCCACAACTTCTCTGGAAGCCATTTATGAAAATACGTCCTGTCAGTATGTACTCATTCCTTGGCACAGAACCAAGGAACAGATGCAGCTTAGGCCCAGACTGTACTTGAAGTCCACTTATACTGAGCTTCTCTGAATGAGCAGTGAGATTTTCTTGACTCAGAAAAGCTTCAGATCAACAATGGTAGTCCTGACTGAAACATCCATTTCTTGAGAAACAAAAATCCTGTATTCCTATAAATTGGTCTGCCTGGCCTACAGGTGAGTTTCCATGGCAGGGGCCCCACTATTTGTCTGAGATTCATGACCTCAGAGCCTTTGTATAAGGGTCTCTTTCAACTGCTCAGCATGAAGAAGAAATAGTGAAAGGCCTGGGAGCAGAGGTGATAAATTCAGATACCCACCAGGGCCAGCCAGGTGACAAAATGAGTAAAAAGGGCCTTACATAGGGAGTGGGGAGGACTGCGACAAATTGGAGAGCATATTCCCTATCAACTTAGCACTCGCCTAACAGTGCAAGAAAAGATGAAAATCCTGACTTTTATATAAAATGTCCTAGTTATTAAATGCTGCTGAAAGTATTTCAAATAGCAAACAAACCAAACAAAATATGCTCATAGGCAAATTGAGCCTGTCAATGACCAGTTTGCAACCTCTCCTCTACAGAAAAAATATTATCAGAAAAGAGCTTAGGATCTGAGTAATGAAGGCAGAAACATCTATTTGAGGAACTGAGAAATGCACAAGGCTTGCTGCCATCCCAAATGTCTCACCCTAAGACCTGCCACATGGTCTGAATATTGCACTATTACAGAGTGACTTCACTGGATTAACAGGACATCACAACCATTTTAAACCAACACATCTCCTTATAAATAGAAAAATCTCACATCCTCTTTGAATGTATCTGAAATTCAAAATGAAGTAACTATCTTGATCAAAAGTCAAATTAAAGAAACGGGACTAATCCTCCCCCTTCTTCCACCTCCCCCCCAATTATATATAAAACATATATATATATATGTTTACACAAAACATATATAAAAACATGCAAAAAGCCCCTAAGTAGTGTTTATGGAAATGGTCATGTGAAGTAAAAGTACAAAATCAACATGGAAATGATAAACACCAAATTCAATCTCTTAAACTCTCTATCCTTTGTTTTATGCCTGAAATATTTATTTTTATAAAAAAGAGGTCATGACTAAAGTTCAAGAGATTTAGATTCAAGTTTTTCTGTGAGCTGAGCTAGTTACATAATCTTAGGTAAGATCCACCCCCTCTCTGGGCTTCGGTTTTGTCATCTGTGAATTGAGGAGGATGGATCAAATCCAAAAAGGCAAACAGGCCTCGTGGGAGGCGCAGGGGATGCCTAGAGAAGAGATGAGGATGGTTTGGGAGACCATTTCCAGGTGGGGAATGCAGTGATTGATGAATGATATCTGCCTTGGGTGTGGGATGGGGACCTTGGCCATATATTTGCCAAATGTGGAATAGATGCTCTTTTTGAAAAAACAAATATGTGTTTATCTGTGTTTCCATTCATCTTTGTCATGTACATACATATTTTAACACTTATGTAATATTGAGGCATTATTTTGTGTCCTACATGTTCCAGTTGCATTCAGTTATTTTTGCATTGATCCAAGTCTTTGTAATTATGTTTAGAGCTGCATAAAATGCAGAAATTGATTAATGATCAATGGCGATGGAGTATTAAAGGAAAAAGTGGCCCATTTTACTTAGTGGTCCACTGTTTTATGGTTTTGTCAAGATAAGTACCAATGTGTTAGATTTCAGTAGATACTTTTTAAGTTCTTCCCTATAAAGTTGCTCACTAGTTACAAACTCTTTATTGAAAACTAATTTAACATTTTGGATAATATCCTCTGGAAGAAAAGGGAGCAGGACATGGAGATATTGATGTTGGAAATGAAAAGATAGGTCTGGGGCTGTGTGTGGACAGCCAAGAAAAGAGAAACTCTCTCCCCTGACTCAGCCCTCTTTGTTTTCCTTCTGCATTGTACACACAGTCTACACCACTCTTAAGGACATGATCACAGCATTATTTTCTGACTGCTTCCGTGTGTATATATTTTATGTCTACCTGGTCAATGTAATAATATTAATATTAATGTAACTATTGGGTATTTGATGTTTGTCTTATTTTTCCCATTTGTCTGTATTTCTTTTAGTTTATTCTCTGATAAATTTAAAAGAAGGCAACTGATTTTGACCAAATTTGGCTCACTATGAAAGATAAATCTTGTTTAATTTTAGTTGTCCACCAGCTCAAAAAAGAATAACGTAACAATTTTTAGAACACTTTTTAAACTACATAATTTTTTCTGAGTATAAAAATGAAAAATATAGTATAAAGAAAATAAAAATAATTCATAATCCATTGCCCAGAGATTACCAGACTTAATATTTAATATTGCTATTTAATTCCTAATAGTTTTCTATATTTAAATTTTTACAAAATCAAATTACAGTATGTATAGCTTGATATTGGTGGGGTTTTTTTGGTGAAGAAGATTGGCCCTGAGCTAACATCTGTGCCCATCTTCCTCTGTTTTGTACGTGGGATGCTGCCACAGCATGGCTTGACGAGTGGTGTGTGGGTCTGCTCCCAGGATTTGGGCCCACGAACCTTGGGCTGCCAAAGCAGAGCGTGTGAACCTAACCACTATGCCACCAGGCCAGCCCGTTGATATTGTTTTTTTAACTTAATTTTATATCATTAGTATTACCTATATACAAAATATATAACTAATGGCTCTAAGATATTTTATTGTATATATTACCAGGATTTATCTAACTAATTCTCTGTTGTTGGACATTTAGTACCTACCTCACAGAGTTATTTTATTTTTTGGCTATTTAAACATTATCACAATTAATAGCCTGTACATAAATCTTTATGTGCAACTCTGATTGTTACCATAAGATAAAATCCAAGACACAGAATTATTGGGGTAAAGCTATAGGCATTTTTAAGACTCTCAAAATGTGTTGCTGAAATGTGGTACAATCTAAAAAGTTGTACCAATTTATACTAGCGATATATGAAAGAGCTAGTTTTATCACATTCGTCCTGATACTGTTATCATTGTTTTTAAATTTTGCTAATTTGAAAATTGAAAATTGTAAGTCATTATTATTTTAATTTGCATTTTAAAGTTATTAGATAAACCATTTTTCGTGTATTTATAGGTTTTATCTTCCTTTGGGAATTGCTTATGCAAATTTATTTCCATCTTTTCATTTATGTCTTTACTTACAGTTAATATTAACCCATTGTCTGCTATATATTTTACAAGTTTTCCTCTGATTTGTCATTTACTTTCAATTTTCTTATCCTGAGAAAACAGGTATTGTATTTAGTAAAATTGGATTTACAGGACCAGGTTATAAGCATTAATGTCCTATATGCTATATATTTATTAAAATAAAGTGTGTTTACTTATAATACTTATGCTAATTAAAAAGCTTATATTGAGTAGGCTCTGCAGTTCCCAGAGTACTAAGGTATAAATTTCTAGAAAGCAGGTGCAGTGTCACTTTCAGTAGGCATCTATTAAATGGGAATTGATGAAAGTTAACACTCTACTGTCCATTGATATGTATCAACTAACAAGCGGTAGGCAAACTATGGCCAGGGGGCCAAATCCTTGACTGTTTTTGTAAACAAAGTTTTAATGAAATGTGGCCATTCTCATTGTTTTCATATTGTCCCCCCAACTTTCATACCTCATCCACCACCTCTGATGGTAGAGTTGACTAATTGCAACACAAACCATATAGCCCATAAAGTCTAAATTTTTTACAGTCTGGCCCTTTACGGAAAAAGTTTGTTGACCCCTGACCTAGAGGTTCTCCCTGGCTTTGTGCCTTCTCCCACAGTCCATGTACTTCTTCCGTTACTATATGATCTAATGCCTCCCCCCACTCCCACTTCAGCTTTATGAACTCTGAGGACAGAGCCCCACTAGGAAGTGCTTAGGCCCAGCCAGCTCAGGTCTTTCACTTTCCCACACCCATTCTCTGCCAT